GTAGCTGCATAAGATGAATAAAACTCTCTGGCTAGGTGATTAGAGTTTTCTCCAGGTGCATTATTCATCCAGTCGAACCGATGAAACTGAAATGTCCGATAAATGTCAGAAAATGCTTTGATATCAGCTACCACCACCCTAGTCTCAGGCATGATTGATCAATTCTTGAAACTGCCATTCTTGGTCACAATACCATTGTTGAAAATTCTTTGGACCGATTCATATTCCACATGGAACGGAAATAGTCAATCAGGTACGGTCTCGCTGCAGGATCAGGTTCATGGATGTTCACATACATCACCATGGTATCATCAGTGGTGATCTCTATATCCTCATCTATAACATCGGTCTCATCTCGTTTCAGCTTCTGTATTTGCCGCAGGTGGAGAGGTGTTTACATTTTCCTAAGAGCCACTTTCAGACTCTGCACTGCCCCCCGAATTATCAGCAGACTGGCTACCTGAACCAACATTAGATTCACCACCCGATTCTTTACTGCTACCAGAATGACTTCCTCCCTCTTCAGACTGGGATGAGTGTCCTGGAGAATGGCCCTCTTTGTCTGTGCTCTAGTAGCCCGAGGTGAGTGATCCTCAATGGTGGTATTTATTTGCACCTCAGAACTACTAGACTCGGAGTCGTCATGACCCTTTGATTGAGAAGTAGTGAGGGGGCAAGTTTGGTTGCGTTCTTTTTCCGGGGAGCCATAGTACCTGATAAACTCAACACCAATTAGTACAAAACTCAATAAAATGACACACTATCGGGTACTCAGACTTCCCCTGTGTAATTACATCGTGACGCCTTTCCTTAAGAATGTCTTCACCCAATCTATCATTGGAAAGGGCCACGAATCAAAAGATGAACAAAAATAAAAGTACAGAAAAAATAAAATTTTACAACACAAGTAAACTCCAAGGGAGCTTTCACGGGCCGTGGTAGCCGTAAAACCCCTCGAGGACTTCTCACAGAATCATTGGGCAACTGGGCTTTCCAAAGTATTTTTCACGGACGGGATCACGGCCCGTGGAGTGAACCACGGTCCATAATAATGCCCGTAAACCTAACTAGTGATGATATGAAATGCCCAGTGTGGTCCACGAGTGGTTTCATGGCTCGTAGTGGTTTTCACAATCCGTGAAGCCTATCGTGGTCTTACACTTGGGCAAATAATCATTAATTGCTTCAACACAGAGATACCCTAATCATACACAAAGCCAACAAGAACAATATTCATTCAACCAAACGCGTACCCACATATCAACACTATCCTTCATGAATTCAACTACCCTCATAAACTCACAACTAATTTAGACCCACTGTAATCATACCCAAGTACAAGAATAATAAATTAAACAATGCCCAATTCAACTTAACCCACAACAAATCAGTACCAATCAAAGTAACTTGTCATATAATCATGATAACCTCGACTAAATCGAAGTAATTCAAACTCACTTTCATACAAGATAAAGCTTATGGCAAGTGATAAGAGAACTTACTTGGAACTTAGAAGAGAATTTCGCTCAGAAAGAGAAATCAGTGAATTCGACTTTAGATTCTTGACAACTTAGGAGGGCTTTGATTCTTTGATGAATTTGGGATTTATGGATGATGGGAACCATTTTAAACCTTTTAAGAACTGTTATGGAAGAGGCTAAGACAAAAAACCCCGACCTTTGGCGCTTTAGGAATGATATAAACGATTATTTTAATTTTTGGTGCCATCACGGGTGTGGTTGGGTATTGGTAGGACTGGGTTGTAGACGACAAACCATGAAAGTGCCCGTGAAGGTCACCACGGTCTGTATAGCTGTCCGTGAAACTAACTTGGGGTAAAATAGTTACCTGTGGTTCACGAGAGGCTAGACGGTCTGTACAAATTATGACGGACCGTGAACCCTTTCGTGAACCTTTTTTTTCCGAATTCCTGTAGCTCCTTTAGGTTGGTTCTAAGATTGACGGACCATGAAAGTTCCTATGAAGGGCACCACGGTCCGTGAGGCTCCCCGTGAAGAGCAGTCTGCACCCAGTTCCTGCAATTTTATAACCCAGTCTCTCCTGCACACATCAATACACAGTGACTCTATAAAAACAAAGAGAAATAAAGAAAAAGGAAAATACCTACTGTAATTACATCTTGGGTTGCCTCCCAAGCAGCGCACAATTTAACGTCGTGGCGCAACGCATGTTACTTGATTACTCGGACTTCATTAAGTTTACATTCCTCCATGATCTTCACATCTTCTGGAACACCCAAGTATACCTTGATTCACTGGCCATTAGCTTTGAACCTCTCGCCCTTGTCATTTTCAAGCTCAATCGCACCCGACTGGAACACTTGAGTAATCTTAAAAGTTCTAGACCATTTGGATCTCAACTTCCCCGAAAACAGACGAAGTCTGGAGTTAAAAAGTAATACCAAATCACTAGGAGTGAAGCTTCTTTTCTCAATATGCTTGTCATGATATAGCTTCATCCTCTCCTTATACAGTGCAGACCTCTCATAGGCTCTCAGATATAACTCATCTATCTTATTGATCTGATCCAATCTCAGGTTCGCAGTTTCGCTCCAACTAAGGTTCAACTTCTTCAAAGCCCAGAGTGCTTTATGCTCAAACTCAACCGGCAAATGAAATGCCTTTCCAAAGAACAATTGATATGGAGACATACCAATAGGCGTCTTGAAAGTTGTCCAATATGCCCATAGAGCATCATCTAACTTTCGTGCCCAATCTGTCCTGTTGGCATTCACCGTTTTAGCCAGAATTGCTTTAATTTCTTTGTTGGAGGGAGACCTCCACTTGGCCACTAGTCTGTGGGTGATAAGGTGTTGCTACCTTGTGCTATTTAACTCCATATTTAGCCAGAAGAGAACTGAACACCTTATTGTAAAAATGAGAACCACCATAACTGATGATAGCTCTGGGTGTGCCGAACCTTGAGAAGATATTCTTTTTCAAAAAACCAACAACACTCTTGCCATCATTCTCAGGCAAAGCAATTGCCTCAACCCATTTGGACACATAGTCCACTACAACCAATGTGTACTTCTGCCCATAGGAGCTCATAAATGGGCCCATGAAGTCGATTCCCTATACATCAAACAGCTCCACCTCCAGAATAGGTGTCATGGGTAACTCATGGTGCCGAGAGATGGCTCCTTGTCACTGGCACACATCACAACTCCTCACTACATCCATCATATCCTGATTAATTCTGGGCCAGTAGTACCCACACTGAAGTATCTTATGAGCTGTCTAAGCACCTACATGATGACCACCTACTGGGGAGGAGTGACACGCTTCTAGAATATGCAACATCTCAACTTCAGGAACACATCACCTAATGATATTGTCAGCACACACCCTATACAGATAAGGTTCATCCCAAAAATACTTACCCACATCATGCAGGAACCTCTTCCTTTGTTGATAAGTTAGCCCCTCAGGCATCAAATCACTAACGAGATAGTTAGCAAAATCAACAAACCAAGGAATAAGATCAAGAGTAATGGCTAATACCTGCTCATTTGGGAACGAATCATTTATGTCGAGCTCGAGTTCCTCTTTATTTTTAGCCTCCAATCTTGACAGGTGATCAACCACTTGGTTTTCACAACCTTTCTTATCCTTAACCCCAAAATCAAACTCCTGAAGTAGTAACACCCATCTGATCAACCTTGGTTTGGCATCCTTCTTTGCCATGAGGTATCTCAAAGTTGCATGGTCCGTATGGACTACCACTTTAGTACCCAACAAGTAAGCTCTGAATTTCTTGAAGGCATACACCACAGCCAATAGTTCCTGTTCAGTGACAATGTAATTTCGTTGTGCTCCATTTAGTGACTTACTAGCATAGTAAATCGGATGGAACATCTTGTTGCGCTTTTGCCCCAACACAACTCCTAATGCAGTACCACTAGCATCACACATTACCTCAAATGGCTCTGCCCAATCTGGGCCAATAAGCACTGGTGCATAAATCAGCTTCTCCTTTAGGCATTCAAAAGCTCTGAGGCATGCCTCATCAAAGACAAATTTCACCTCCTTCTCCAAAAGTTTGCACATGGGGTGTGTAATTTTGGAGAAGTCCTTGATGAACCGCCTATAGAATTCAGCATGTCCTAAGAAACTTCGAACACCTTTCACACAGATCGGTGGAGGTAACTTTTCAATCACCTCAATTTTGACCTTGTCGACCTCAATCCCTTTCTGTGACACCTTGTGTCCAAGGACTATGCCTTCATTGACCATAAAATGACACTTGTCCCAGTTCAGCACTAGATTTGCCTCCTCGCATCTATTTAGGGCCCTTCTAAGATTTAACAAACAATCATCAAAGCTATCACCTACTACTGAAAATTGTCATCCATGAAGACCTCTAGAGTATCCTCCACCATGTCTGAGAAGATAGACATCATACACCTTTGGAAAGTGGTTGGTGCATTACATAGTTCAAATGGCATGCGTTTAAACGCAAAGGTGCCATAAGGACATGTAGAGGTAGTATTTTCCTGATCTTCAGGAGAAATCGATATCTGGTTGTAGCCAGAGCATCCATCTAAGAAGCAATACCACCCATTTCCAGCCAACATGTCAAGCATCTAGTCTATGAAAGGCTTTGGGAAGTGATCCTTCAAGGTCCACTTATTCAACTTCCTGTAGTCCATACACACACGCCATCCAGTAACTGCTCTTTGTGGGACTAACTCATTCTTTGCATTCACGACCACAGTCGTACCACCCTTTTTGGGCACACATTGTATTGGACCGACCTAGTGACTGTCAGAAATGGGGTACACCACCCCAGCATCTGACCACTTGATTATCTCCTTTTTTACCACCTCTTGCATCGGTGGGATAACCTCCTCTGGTGTTCAATGCTTGGGTTGCAGTCCTCCTCAAGTTGGATCCTATGAATGCATTTGCCCGGAGGTATCTCGATGATGTCAGCAATGGTCCACCCAATGACCTTTTTGTACGTAATCAACACTTTGATCATAACTTGGACCTGTTCATCATTCAAATCTATAGCCAAAATCATAGGTAAAGTGTTGTTACTTCCCAAAAATACATACCTCAGGTGACTGGGTAATTGTTCTAGTTCCAGCATAGGTGGTTTCTCAATGGATGGTTTTGCTGGAGGACCAGGCCTGTTTTTCAAGTCCAGGTCCAATTTGTTTGGAGCATAAGAGTGTGCTCCCATACCCTACAAAGCATTCACTGTCTCTACATAGTCAGACCAAAAATCAGCTTCAAAATACATCAGCACTGCAGCTAGAGTCTCAACAGTCAGCCTCTCTTCGATAGTTGCTCCCATTTCTTTTTCATCAAAAACCTTTATTGCAGACACCACATTCATGTCATGTGGCTACTTCATGGACCTGTAAATATTAAACTTTACCTCTTCATTGTTGATTCTGAATTTTAGTTCTCCTCGCTCAACATCTACCAATGCTTGTCCTGTGGCCAGAAATGGTCTTTCCAAAATAATGGGAACCTCAAAATCCACTTCGCAATCCAAAATCACGAAGTATGCCAGAAATATGAACGTGTCCACCTTTACAAGAATATCACATAGTATGCCCACAGGTCGCTTTACTGACATATCTGCTATCATCAGCCTCATGGTTGTGGGTTTTGGAACTCCTAAACCAGTTGCTTGTAGATGGCCAGCGACATCAAGTTTATGCTGGCCCCTAGATCACACAAGGCCTTTGCATATTTGATTGATCCGATAGTGCATGGTATGGTGAATGCACCTGGTTCTTCATTCTTCTGCACCAGAGACCTGGTAGCAGTAGCACTGTAGTGATGACTATGGTTAGTCAAATCAATAGTCACCACTCTTTTGTTATTAACCAAGTCCTTCATGAACTTGGCATATCCTGGCACCTGGTTCTTCCTTCTTCTGCACCAGAGACCTGGTAGCAATAGCACTATAGTGATGAATATGGTTAGTCAAATCAGTACTCACCACTCTTTTCTTAGTAACCAAGTCTTTCATGAACTTGGCATATCATGGCATCTGCTCAAGTGCTTCCACCAGTGGGATGTTTACTGACAGTTGTCACAACATGGTGATGAACTTAGCAAATTTCCTATCTTCGGCTTTCTTTTTAAGCCTTTGAGGGAAATGAGGAGGTGGTCTTGGGATATTCTGTAAAGGTAAGGTTCTCTCAACCTCTTTTTCTTTCGCTCCTACTGGTTTGGCTATTTCTTGAGCATCCTCCAAGTCATCTACTTGATCAGCTTCATCCTCCCCTCTTCCAGCTTGCTCCAACACCTGCTCATGTTTAGTGCCTGCAGAAATTGGGTCAGTAAGAATCTTACCCATCCTGGTGGCGATAGCCATGCAGTGCCCGTCCTTCTTCAGATTTTTGATCGTAACACTAGGTAGTGACCATTCTTCCTCTGATTTAATGAGGCTGAAAATTGACCCAACTGCTGCTCAATTTGCTTGATAGAGGTGGTGTGAGAGTCTACCAGTTGACTCATACTAGAGAATTTACCTTTCATCTCCTTCACCCCTGCATCCGTTGATTCAACTTTTTGGAGCACCTTGGCCAACATGTCTTCCAACTTAGACCCACTGGAACTGCCACTTACTCTGTAACGACCCGGAAAATGATAGAGTGAAACTAGAGCCTCACATGTGAGTTTGGAGTCGAGAACTTAATGAAAGGATTATATTTGAATTTGACCCAAAAAGTTCTTAAAAATGTGCTTCGGAAGTTACCGGAAACTTGTTTAGCTGTATTAAAAGATCTGTTTCGTTTTCGAAAATCCGACTTCATATTCTTTTTAGGGGTCAAATTAGTGGGAAATGGGTCTAACCCAATTTTAGAGCAACCGTATGAAAATCCAAAATTTCCAAGTGAAAGCCTTTTTCGAGGGTCTACTTTGGAGGGTCATATATCCTAGCACACAAATTATTTGGGTGGCCAATAATATATACATGGAAATACCTTTGAGTTAGATACCTAACGCACTTCGTTTCACCTCATTCGGAGTTCGGACGAAGAAGTTATGCCCATTTTCGTAAAATCTGTCCAACAGATAAAGGCAAATTCCAGTAGCTGATTTTACTGTTCATTTACTGTTCACCAGCCTGATTTTTTTTCTAAGTGTTGGACCATTCTTCCAAAGGACATATATTATTTCCTAGAAATTATAAAACCCTTTTGACCAAAATTCTTCCATTTAAATCACTCCAATTAGGAAGAAAAAAGAAACCCTCCCTCTCTCAAAAAAACTCTCTCAAAACCCCATGGAAGCTCAAGGTGAAAGATGGAGCTAGGGTGGATGGTGGCTGCTGATTTCTTCTCTAATTTCGTTTGGTTCTTGAAGAATAAGGTATGGGGACTCTTCATCTTTGATTCCTTCTTCAATCAAAGAGTCAATCCAAAAGATTTCAAAAGTTGTTCAAAAAAACTCAAAATCCTAATTTTGATTCTAGCATGGGTTCTTGCATTAAATGTTTTTAATGATAATTTATGTTATTATTGATGGTTTTAAGAAAGGAAATTCCATGAACCCATGTCTTTGCAAATTTCCAAAAGTTGGCATATGAAGTGGGATTATTGTTTGTGATTGAATGATGATAGAATTATGCTTAAATGGAGTTGAATAGTTGATTTTTATTATTAGCTATGCTTATCTATTGTGAATTATTGGAGAGTTGAGGAATGATGATTGTGGCTTTGGAAAAGGGTAAGTTGACCTATTTTATGAAAAATGTTGAATTAGTAGGGAATTGAGTAATGTTGGTTATGGCTTTGGAAAATGGTAAGATGGCTTAATCTCTTAGTATTGATATAATTGTTATTGGTTGGTTTGATCCACCTTTGGTGGAGGTGGTTATTTGTTGTATTATTGTGAATTGAGGCCATGAAGGGCATTATGTGAATGTTATTATATTGTTGTATTATTATACACATATGAAGCTATATGT